AATAACTTCTGGATCCATTGCTTTTTGGGTCACTGTGTCTACACCTACGGCGATGACTATTACCACTAATGACACGGAGATGCTCCTTGAGATGTTGAGCTCTGGGCTACACTCTTGCTTTTCTGTCCGCATTGTGCAAATGACCCAAATATCAGCGCACGAAGGTTTGAACTTAGCCGCGCGGTGGTAGCCAGTTGCCCACGTAGCTAGAACAAGGTATGAAGGTACACATTGACGGATCATAGGAGATACTATTTCCGACCCTGTACCTTGTAGACTGCAATTCTAACTAGAATCTGTAACACATTAACTACACTGCTTGAAAATCAAATGGCGACAATATAGAAAAAGCAATCCAAACTGTGATTCTATAGAGCCTTCAAGGAGAATGACCAATTCTATAATCGAGTTGCCATCCACTGCCATGCTCACTACTGCACCCCTCACGGCCCTATGGCATCCTACAACCTAAGCTTTTCCGCCCAAAGCCCGAAAAGCCCCAGCTTTCCCTCAGAATCCCGAGAAGCCCACAGGGTATGTGAGGGTTTAGGGTTTAGGGATATATGAGGGTTTCCCTAAATTGTGGGTACCTTTTTTGGGGGTCCCACTAATAAGGAGTATAATATATTGGGGTCTATATTGGGGTCATTTTGGGAAACGACCATATCGGGATATACTGGATTATAGGGGAGTTATATGGAAGATTTAGGGATATACTACCCCAATGACGGAGGTAACTCCTACTCTGGAAAAACTCTTTCTTGAGGCCCGAGCTTGAAGGCATGTTTGCAGCGACTGGGAAAAAATAAACCCACTAGACCGGCCAGACTCTGCAAGAGCCTCAAAAAGCCTGCGGCCTGTGAAGTGTGGTATTTGAGCCCGGGATAGTAACTGAATTGGTGTGAAATGGAAACGGTTGCTCATTGTTCTATAACTTATTCTGGCTACCAGGGAATGAAACTATATTATCAAAACCTATATCTACCGCAATGATCCATCTTATCATTAAATTAGGACATCTCCCAGTGGCCTTGCCAGTCTGCTTAGGATATACACATTTGGGGGAAACCAAGCCGCAAGGGTGGGACAAAGGTTCCTGGGGTATAATACTGTACAGCAAACAAAAGTCTGAAGAGCAGCATTGCAGTCCGACGTCTACTTTCATCATATCAGGGACTTGAACGAACGACTGGCAGTCATGCAGGCTTCGGCTTAAATGCACGTGAGCTGGAATATACTGCTCGTAGCCTCGTTGCCTGGAGGGTCATTGGGCTTCGTAGATACTTCTAACTGGGCAGATAACCTTGCTTACAAATCCCTGTAACTGGACCTCATTAGGCTATCCCTGTTGGTTTTGTCCTTAGTTATAAAAAGATTATAAAAAGATATTCAATCCACCGACCTCCAAGTAATCCCATCTCCTCCGCATGAGCGAATTGAAGCTAAAGCTCATCCTTCCAATTGTTCATCAGCTCCGGCCCCAAACGACCAATCTCTGTCAACCGAACTTTAACGAAACTGATACAAACACTTCTGCACGACTTTGTGGGCCTCTTCAAAACGCAAAGCCATAACCAAAAAAAAACTCAACCTAACCAGGATGCTGACAAACCCCAGCAGCATGGAAGCAAACACACGAAGCGCGGCTGGGCATCGGATGAAGCATGTGGCAAGCAGGTATGTTCGGAAGTATGCAAGGGAGCATGCTTCTCGAATTCCCAGCAAGCGTGGTTACTGCAGGATCCTAGACCCTAAACCCTAAAGTTAGGATGGGCAATGCCCAGACAGTAAGCTGGGCTATTAATTTAAGTAAAAGCCAAAAGAAAGTCAAGAAAAAACTGCAAGAAAGCCATCTGCAGGATCGCATGTGCGGACGCTAAAAACAAAAAAAAACTTAAATAAAGCTGCCTCCGACCTCATCGCCAGCTTTTTTCGAGACCCGTCCAGGCCAGGGCCGGAAATCATCTGGGCTGCCGAAGAAGTAGCTTTTCCCGCAGTAAAAGCTAAAAAACAAGCTAAAAGCTAAGCGAAGGCTTAAAAAAAGCTAAAAGAAAGCTAAAAGAAAGCCAAAATAGAAGCCAAATGCCAAAGGCCAAAAAAAAAGCCAAGCCAAAACCGAAAAAAGCTACACCAATGCTGACTGTAGCTTTTCTGTAGCTTCTTTTTAAACTGGTGTTTCGTGGGCTCTCTGGCGTATCGCTCGTCCTTACCCTAAAGCCCTTAACCCATACCTCCCGGCCTTGGCTCTTTTTTTTTGAGGAGCCTTCTCGTACCGAGTTGCTCGAGATGCCTGTTCTGAACCTTCCTGCTGCACCCTGCGAAAAAGAAATTACGCGTTGGAAGAAAATGCTGCAAAGCTGCAAAAGTATGCAAATGCAGGGGTTGCACCTCTGCCAGTGTTTGCAACAGTTTTTTTTTACCATCGCTCCCTTAGAACTCAACACAGGCTTCCATTCTCTTGTCCGTTCTCCGTGCATGTTCCTATACAACCCCATACAATCCCCGCGTAAATCCACCTCAAAACACTTCAGCGCCACTTTTTGGCGCAGGTCCGAGCAGCTATCGGGGGAAGTTCACACATGGCACCGAGGAGGCTTGCTACAGTCGGAGTGCAGCGAAGTCCAGCAATAGTACCGATGAGTGCAAAACCAAGCATGATGTCTTGAACGACGGTTATATGCCCAACTGCCATGATCTAACCCATTGGCCCTAAACCCTAAACTCTAAACCCTATTCCACAGGACATCGACTCCAGCTTTAAAGGAGCACTCCAACTAGAGGAGGTTGAGGCTAAAGCGCAAGTACTTGACGAATTTTGCCTGAAAGAATCCTTACCCGCAAATTTTCGCTACGGGGAGGATGGTTCTCAGTGACCCTGACCTGCCGAGAAAGCCTTAAACAGGTCTTATGATCTTTGCGCCTATTGCCTATTGCAGCATTTGGTACCGTTTTTTGGTGGTTGAACCTAGTAAGATTATATCCCTTATATAAAATACTATACCCAAAAGGAGGATAGAATCTTACTCTTTATTGGGTACCATAAAATCCCCACATAAAATACTACTCAATTGGTGCTCAACCCTAATCCCCAAACCCTGAACACTAAACCCTAAAAGCAATTGGTACCGTAGTGGGAATTGGGTCTTCTTCAAGCCTCGTGTCCCATAACGGAGTACCCAGGGTAGTGTTCACCTCACGGTCGGCAGCCCTGCAGTGGTTGCAGGGCACCTTTCAGCAGTTGAAGCCACCCTCGCCGGCAAAGCACTAGCTGGTCCAGTGTATGGTTATACAGACATGGGAATTGAAAAGCAAATGGAAGCTACTCAAATGATCATCTACGGGTTAAGGTTTGGGTTTGGGCTCAAGTTGCCATAACTGAGACTCAAATGTAAAATAAAACTCCGAATTGAATGCGCACTTGGCTTATTTTGCTCAGGAGTTTGACGCAGTCTTTCTGCGATAGACTTGAAGATGAAAGCAGCGTGAAAGTGTTCTGCTCTGGCACTTAGCCTGGGCGTGGAATTGCACTGTAGTCAGGGCATGTGGGTTGTTGTTGAAATTGTGGTCCTTTTCTGGGTACTCTAAATATTCGGTGCCGTATTATAATAGGGACCCAAAAAGGGACCATAATTTTGACAACCACCCATGTAGGAAAATAAATTCACATTGCTGCTGTTTGGTGCAGCAGGACGGTCAGGTACTTTGTGCTTTGTCAAACCATAGTTTTACCACAAAAAACCTCTTGCGCAAGGCCTTCTAGCCAGAAAGCCTTCCACCTCTCCGCTCCCTGCTTGCTGTTTTTGAAGGAGTACTAGATACAGATGCTCAAGCCCGTCTTACGATCTCAAGTCAGTCTCTGCAAGGTGTGCATTCTTACGTTGAGGTTCGACGTACATGCAACGTGGCATACTTGGAGGCGGAACTGAGCATCAACCAGCGGCATGACAGTTGAAGGAACGGAAGAGAAAATGGAAGCTGCTACATTATTGGTAACTGGAGACTATGCACAGGCTACTACAGAACCAGCTATGACCACTGGAGATGGTTACACCTCAGCAAGGGACCTACATTAACGCTCAACTCCGGTGCACGCATACCCTAAAGCTTCAACGCTCCTAACCCTGAATCCTTATCCCCATGTCCTTGTAGAATCCCTACATCCCCTTTCAACCACAGGAGCGCGAGGAATTCACAGAGCTTCGAGGATCGAAAGATCGACTACCAAAAACCAACCTCTCTCTGACCCACATATTACAATGGAAACTACTACAGTATATAGGGGTTATAAAGGGATGATGGAAAAGAAGATGGAAACTACTATAGTATAGAGGGGTAAAATAGGAATAATGGAAAAGAAAGAATCGGAATATGAAATGGCATCTGGGTTTACAGGTTGCACGGGGCTTGGCCCAAATTACTGTTCCCTAAATGGAGAAGTTCGTATAGGAACCCGCATTCAAACAGGAACGGGACCATAGAAACCCGTATTATAATAGATTTGAAAAAAAACGAATCCTAGTGTGATATTGCTCCTCCGGAAAAGGCTCCCACTTGCTGGGGTCTCGTAGGGAATGATGGCACACATCATCCACGTGTTATATTTGGACTATACTCCCTTATTCCCTACTAATCACCAGTAAGCTTAAACCCCAAACCCCCCTAAACCCTGAACCCAGCCTTGGATCATCTTACCGCCTGCGCCTTGAGCAATGCTTTCCCATAGCACACAACCAACGGGATAAATTCAGGCAACATCTCTTAACTTTTTTAGGGGCCTGAGGATTCCATTCCATTTTCCATCATCTTAGGCTTGGGTTTAAAACGCAACGTGGAGGATGAAGGTGGAGGCTTCGATGTGGTCTTCTGGTTGATGCGTTCTCCTGTTCGTATCCAAAGCTTCGCAAGGAATGCAGAAAAGTGCAGGCAGCAGCCCACAGGCCAATGATGCAACCCACGTGCAATAAGAAGAAGGCATGGAAGCCTCCACACACGGAGGCCTGAATCGCCTGAATCATCCGAACGCGGTCTCTAAAACACATTTTTGCGGCACGCAGAGAACAGACCCATATCAGTTAGTTCACCATCATGACTCACTGTCTTATTCACACATTCAGAAAAGCCTGGGAACTGTCCAAAACAGTTATATAGGGTTCGAATAGAGCCATATAATTAGGGAATAATGAAGCATCATGGAGCATCGATCGAAAAAGCAGATGGAAAACAAAGTGAAACTGGGCAGATTATGGGCGCATCCACAAGTCTCACCATCTAAACGGGCCGCGGCGTACTCCATCAACTCAGCATCGCAAGTACAGCATCGTTCCCGTTCTCTGGAATCCCGACTTCGTTAATGTGGGGAAGTTGGCCTAATTTACTGTTCTCAAACTAGGGAACCCCGTATTATAGAGGCCCGTGTTGCAATAGGAACCCCACTACGGGGACCTGTGTTGTAACGAATTAAGGGAAACCCCATGTACCTCCTTGCAAGGAGGCCGTTGCCGTTAAGCCAATTCTGCCAAAAGCCGAGGCTGTTTCGCGATAGGGTTTACGATTACCCCCCAAAACTCCCCCTTAATTAGCACTACGCATCCCTAAAGAAGCTTAATTAACAGGAAACCTAGGCGGCCTAGTATAGGAGTGAGCAGGGAACCCATGAAAACAACACTGTTCACATTTCTTGTCTAAACTGAATTTGTGACGCTAATGACCATGAGCTATAGTCTAAACTCCTAATATCCCCCTTAGTAAGCCTTATGATGGTCCCTTATATACTCCCCTATATAACCAACCTCTCAGGAGTTTAGACTACAGTTCACATGGAGACGATGGGGGGACTCCATAAAACCAGGCCTCTTGTTCGGTCCGCGGCCTGCGTGAGACCAAACCGAGCCCTGATTTCAGACTCTTCCCAATCAATGTCAAGCAAATATCAAAACTGTGAAAGCAGGCCGTAGATCCTAAATTCTTGCAACTTGAACACGCTATTTCCAACCAGGAGCCCTGAAAACTCGATGCCTGATTCACCTGATCTCTCAGACCTGCTACACCTTGCACCTTCAAATCTTATCTCACCTCTTTTTTAAGCCGACCTTATGCCCTTTTGCTGTCTACCCAAACATGTACATTCCCTGGCATGGACACCCCAGGTCATACATCCAAGTTCCTGGGTCATACATCCAAGTTCCTGTTCGAGATTCCAAACTTGTTGATGCCGGCTACTCAAGAATAGATTGCATGGCCATTTCCCAAAGGTACCATCCCCCCATTCCAAGGAATATCATTCTTAGAGCCTTGAGCCCTGAACGTGAAATCTGATGATTTCAACCAAAATCCTGCACGCTGCACCCCAAAATATCACATGCTCCAAGTGTATTCCCATGCGAGCTATAGTCTAAACTCGTAAAATCCCCCTTACTAACCCATATAATATTCCCCTATCTCATCCCCTACATAACCCTCTCTAAGCAGTGTAGACTATAGCTCATGTAGTCCCTATGTCAGCCAAAATCCTCTAAGCCAGGTTGACAACAAGCTCTCAGGGGCGCACCGCCGCGTCGAAACCAGCGCCATCCTTCCGAAGTGCCGCCTGTCAATGGCTACCATTGCTACTATTGCTACTATTACTACTAGTACTACAATTACTACTATTACTTCAAGTACTCCCACTGCTACTCCTACTCCTACTCCTACTATTATTACTACTACTACTACTACTACTACCACCACTACCACTACCACTACCACTACCACTACCACTACCACTACCACCACTGCTATTCCAAAATTTAGCCACGTTGCATGGCACAGCTACTGTATATACGACTAACACACCATTAGCACGCAGGCTTCCCTACTAAAGCGTGGTCTGGACTCCAAAATACTCCAAACTAGGGTTCCAATTGGGGGCTGAGATCTAGGTTCTGGGAGTTGGGGTGGACAGGATTAGTTTGGAGATCTCAGCGCGCGAATCCCAACTGGCTGGGCGGGGTTCCCAAGCAGATTCCGCCAAGTCCTCACAAAGCGCGAAGCAACATGAAATTCGGGTTGGCCGGATGTCACATTTCGGAAAATCACCCGAACAGAGGCAAATTCAGCCAAGAGTGAACTTGATTACGATTTGCCCGTCTAGCTGATTACCGGCTTTCGTGAGAATCCCTGTGCCCGTCCTCGAAGTCCATGTCCTCGAAGGCAAGATTCACACCCTTTTCAATGCACGGAGTCCGTTCAACCTCTGAATCCACTCCTTTCACACGCTCAGTGGGGAAGGACCCCATGAACCTTAGTAGGGACTCCGGGAATTCAAAACACCTTGTCCACTCATCCACCCCTACACATCCCACTATACTCCTGTATCCTACCCTAAACCCTAAACCCTAACCCCTCACCCCGAAACCCAACACAGAGACCTCCCAAATCTGACATTCGTTGACAGCACTCCAATTCTTCTAGCTCTCGCAAAGCGTGCCCAAGAAGAATGGCGCAATCTCATGTAGTATGGTGATTTTTGTGGGTCCTTATTGGGGAATCTCTAGGGACCCTCGTGTACACCTTGAAGGGTTCCTTCGTGACCCCGATATTGACAATGTAGCATATAACTATAATCCAGTCCTGGTTTCAGGGGTTGAGATTACTAAAAACCACCTTCATACTTCTAAACCCAAAACCTCTACACCCTCAACCCTAAACCTCTACACCCCAAACCCTAAACTCCTCAACCCTAAACCCCCAAACCCTAAACCCCAAAACTTCAAACCCCAAACCCTTACACGCTAAACCCTACATCATATAATCTCAATCTACTATAGTGGCTTCCATGTTCATTTCCATTATCCCTGTATAACCCCTATATATTCCCCAATATACTGTAGTAGTTTCCATTTTCTTTTCCATTACCCTAAACCCTCAAACTCGGGAGCTGAACTACTGAACTACAGCCAGGGCCTCGAGTTGCGCTATGCGTTGCGTCAGCTCCGCAGCTACATCTGAGTGGTTTAGGGCTTGAGGTTTGGGATCTGTGCTTTAGGCTTTAGGGTTTTGGGTTTGTGATTGAGGGTTTAGGGTGTAGGGTTTGGGGTTTAGGGTTCAAGGTTTTGGGTTTAAGGGCTTCGGAGATCATGGGCAAGGTCGACAGTTGGCCCCAAAATGACGTGCTTACTTGTGCCAGCCGGGGGGGTTCTCAGAATGGAGGGCCCCTAAGGACCCTTTCCGAAACTTGCACATCTTGGGCTCGGGGTTTGAGGTTTTGTGGAATAAACAGGAGTGGGTCCCGACTCATTGCTTCTTCGCCATTGTACTAGAGCTGCTCGCATCGGATATCAGCAGTCACAAGGTTCACATGAAGCACAACCTTCGCAGTTTAGAACATGGGTCAGGTTGACAATGTTTCGAACAGCTACTGCGGGTCCTTGAAAGTGGGGCGTGTCGCGTTGGCTTTGAACACAACAGCTACAAGCTGCACAGCAAACACGACAAAGACAACAACTCACTGACGCTGAGTATGGAAGATGGCAATATATAATCCCTATATGATATATTCCCTTAATCCCTACTAACCCTTAACCCTATACTATATTTCTAATATATTCCCTACTAACACCTAGTAAGACAAACACCATTCCAGTACAGAAGAGGTTTGCAACCATGGAAGCCTAGTCAAAGAGCCTTGGGGGTATGTGTAAGGGGTAGGTAAGGGTGTACGGCTTAGGGGGGGGAAAGATGGAGAATCAAATGGAAAAGCAAATTGAAAATAAAATGGAAGCTACTATGTAAACCCTTAACCCTAAACCCTAGAATTTAAACCCTAAACCGCGTCAATGTCATTCAGGGTTTAGGGCTAAGGAACCTAAGCAGTCATAGAACCCACATTCCGGAACTGCCAGCCCTGGTCTCCTTTGTAGGGTTTTCAGGGTTTAGGGTTTAGGGTTTTCTGGCAAACTTGGCCTATCTCGCTCCTGGAGGTGGGCCCCGAGAATTAGCATACCATCTCCCCAACGTACATAAATGCAGCTGCTCAAGTATTCATGAGACACTCCCATGAAACTAAAATGCGATCAAAACTGTTATTACTGTTATTACTATTATGACTTTTCTTTCTAATATTACTACTATGATTACTATTGCAAAAACTATTATTACTATTATTACCATTATTATTCTTATTCCTCTTATTACTATTATTACTATGTTTACGAATATGATTTTCAATTATTACTATTACTAGTGGTAATTATTACTATTGCTACTACCATGTCAGAGTAATCGGAATGTGTGGCCCACGAAAGCTTGAGCCCAAAACCTGAACGCAGCAGCTCTCTTGTAAGCTTGAAACCTCAACCCAAAAACACAAGAGGTTTAGCGTTTGGGGTTTAGGTTCCTGTAAGAGTGGTATAAAACGAAAATAACTCATAGTGACTATAACTGGTTGAGGGGTCCACGTAGTCTTCACCACAAACTGCAGCTGAAGACTCCAAGAGTCAAAAAGAAAAGTGAGCACCGCGATCTTTCACCCCAAGTCCAAATGCAGAAAATGTGCACCTCTACAGCACATAGTTCTTGTGACCAAACAGTGCACAAAACAATGTCAAAACCTGCGCCCAGAACCGCAAAAACCAGAAGAACCAGCAGCCTGCGCCTTCGCCCTGTGCCCCCTTGGGCGCAGTTCTCGCCTCTGAGGATAGATTTCAATGGTGATATTGGCAGTAAGAATCACTGCAGTAGTTGCAGTACTGGGAAGAGTTGAATGTTTCAAATTTGGTACATTTCTCTACCACGTTTAGGATCTAAACCAAACCTTGGGATTTAGTGTGTACTTGAGCAGAAGGAGATGTTAGCTGTTTCTTGAAAACTTCGAGTCCCATCAGCCCACCCACTGCAAAGGTCTTTGCTCTGTACCTAAATTGCAGGGAGCCTTGCACACTATTCAGGTGTAGACAGTTTGACATGTCATCGCTTTGTGACCCGGGCTATTCCTGGGCCACGCAGGCATGTGGCTCAGCACTGCGTGCTCTGAAGCCTCTGACCGGATAGCACTAATGTTTGAACACATCTGCTCACAATCAGCTAGAGGGCAAAACGTATTCAGCCAGAACTTTCAAGCCATCATGAGCCTTCAACCCCAAACCATGACCCTAGAAGCCTTAACTGTTTCCCTTGATGCCCTGAGCACATGGCTTCAGCGAGCTGCTTCTCAAGGGCCTCACATTACACGAACTGTACGCGTGTACCTACTGGTGGAAGTGCTATGGGAATGACTGGGTTTATTTTGTAATCATGGAAAATAAAATGAAACTACTGTAGTATATTGGGGTTACATAGTAATAATGGACAAGAAAATGGAAACTACTATGCTATATTGGGGTTATATAGTAACAATGGAAAAGAAAGTGGAAACTAGTATAGTATGTTAGGATTATGCTGGGACTACCATAGGCGTCTATTCCTCTATTCTCTTTTCACCAAGCATACAGTAATCCCCTCCCCCCATAACAAACCCCAACACCCCCTAATCATAAATTTCCCATAATATACAATGACATTATTTTGAGCATCTTGGCATATATAGCACTAGGCGCTTTAAGGGGAAGTGATTACTCCTAACCCCTATACAATACCAGCCCCCATGTAAACCTTAGACAACCCTCATCTAAGCCAAGGCCACGAAACCCTAAACCCTCAAGCCTTAACCTTTAACCCTAAGGAATAGCTAGGGGAGAGCTGCTGGGGGGGTCTAGAAGCTGTCAGGCAAGGGGTCCGAAGGAGGCTCGCATAGGGCCCCACACATGAGGCCATATGGGTTTAGGGTTTAGGATTTAGGGTTATATGAGGATAGATTGGGGATATTAAAGGGTTATATGAAAAGGCTTATTTTGGGATACATGGGGGATATATGGGGACATGTAGGGGATTGGTAAAGAAGCCAGAATGTACTAGATCATGTGGTGTTTGAGGGTGTACAGGCACGCCGGTTGCACGAGCTAGCTTTGGAACTTAGAATGCGCTTGGACAAGGAGTCTCTCTGAGGTTGCTGCATTCCATCGCGCATCGTTTGTACAACAGGATCTCAACTCAGTGACTAAGAATGTCTGAATACACGCAATGACTGCACAGTGCCAGAATGCCAGGGAACATAAGGACTGACTTTCATACAGCCCATGAACCCATCCCTATCAAAATCAAAGCTTCCACTACCCTCTGCAATCCTCTACGTCATCATTCCGACACAAGTTCTCAAGCTTACTGTTCTTATTATTACTATGATTACTATTACCACTATTGTTACGGTGATTCTTATTGGTACTGTTATTGCCAGTATAGGATGCAGACAAACAGCGGCCTATCCGTCTCTACCTCAGGCCACCTACGGCGCTCGAAAGATGTGTATGAGGGTAGGTTGGCTTTTAACTTTTTCGCGCGGCCTGGCTTCAGGGTTTTTAGGGTTTAAGGCTTAAACGCTAAACCCTTAGAATCTAGGGTTTAAGGCAGGGTTTCGGCTCCTGCTCTGCAGGCCAGGGTTCCTTTGGGGACTAGCGCTGGCCTTCGGGCGGAAGCTTACCGCGGAAATGTGAAGGCTTTAAGGTTTAGGGTTTAGGGCTGGGGGTCAGGGATGTGGGGGAATCTATTGGGTGGGTTTAATGGGGTTGTATAAGACTGATATGTGTACATTATCCCCCAGTAATGGAAAATCAAATGGAAAAGTGCATGGATAATGACATGGAAGCTACATTTTAAACCCTGAACCCTAAACCCCTAAACCCTCAAGCTTAAATCCTAAACCCTAAACCTTGAAGCCTAAACCCCTAAACCCTAAAGCCAAAACCCCTAAACCCCTAAAGCCAAAACCCCTAAACCCCTAAACCCTAAACCCTCAAGCCTATGGGGTAATAGGGCACCCATACCCCAGCTCAAGAGCCTCGCATCGCGCTTTCTGCTCAGCGGCGTCTTTTTGCACACCTGGGCTGATATACTGTTGATGGAGGAAATCTTGCACCACCTTAAGTCCCTAAAGTCCTAGGAACTACAGTAGTTTAGGGCCCCAAGGCGGTGCAAGATTTCATCCATCAACAGTATTTAGGGTTCAGGGGTTCAGGGTTGGTGGAAATTTTGTAGGGATATATAAGATTATACAAGGCTATATAGGGTTAACAAAGGGATTGTATACGGATCATGAAGAAGTTATATAGGGTCCTATAGGGATTTATCCTCTAAGGCGGAGAATCAAATGGAAAACAACATTGGCAATGAAATGGAAGCTAGGTTTATGTAGGGCTTTAAGGGTTTAGATAGTTCCATAAATAGCGGGACCCCAATATAGACCCGAATGTAGCCCTAACTAACAACAACTCGCAAAAAGGTAGTTGTGGAAAATGATGGCTCCGTTTGGGGTCCCCATTAGAATACGGGCCCTCATATTTAGGGCACCCAAACGGAACCATAATCGAAAGTTTAATCTTTTAAAAACGAGTATATACACCCAGCTTCCACGTCATTGTCCATTTTCTTGTCCATTTGATTCTCCATGATTAGGGTACCTAACCCCTGCAAAATAATTTCCATTTTCTCTTCCATTCCCCTACATACCCTGGTAACCCTATAGAATCCGTATACAACCCCTATAAGAATCCTCTACAATCCCTAAATAACCCTATGCGCTGGTAACCCTTTATAGTAGTCAATCAGGTGCATGGCTCGAGCTCCCAGAACCAAAGACGTGTCATCCTCCAGCCCTCCATGGGTTCAGGTTGGGTACTGCCCCCACCCAGTAACAGTCTATATTAGGGGTCCTATTAAGGGCTATATATAACCATGTTAGAACTATTATCTAACTGTTACTGAATGGGGGCAGTACCCAAGGTCCAGGGTTTAGAGTTTAAGGCTTGGGGTTTAGGGGTCTAGGGCTTAGGGGTTTAGGGCTATCAGGCCTCATCCCAAGCAACATGAAAACCCAAGGCTCCTCGAAACCACCCTATTCTTAAACTTATTCTGATCTAAGATATCATGAAACCCAATGCCCTGGTTCCTGAGGCAAGAAATGCAAGAAACCTTAATGCCCGGAAGACATGTTGAGGTCTCTGACCTCAAGCTTGCCACTCAGCACCAAGCTGTCCAGCTGCTGGGAGAGGCCAGACACCAATTGCTGCGCGTCGTCCTTTGGGGTTCAGGTTTTAGGGTTTGGGGTTTAGGGTTTAGGGTTTAAGTTTTAGGGTTTGGGGTTTAGAGTTCAGGAGCGACACAAAAAAAATTAAACAATGGCTGTCTGCCTTTGTTCTAGCCACAGAAGCTCTTAAACACAAAAGCCCGCAAGCCCACCTGCCCCGGACTCCTGGAAGAAACATAGCCATTAGGTGGATCCCCCACCCAGTATTAGTGACAACAAGGGACCATTGTGATTATATTGGGTCCTCCTCAATTCCTATTACAGGGTGGGGTCCACCTAACATGGCTAACTGATTCCCGGGCTTCTAGACAAAGCAAAGAACGCGAGAAATGCAATGGTTGGAAACCTCAAATCCTATGTATCCCCGTGTACCCCATATGCACTGTATATCCCTATTTACCGTATATGTATCTCTCTATATCCTATATACCTTAGATATCCCATATACCTCTGTGTCCCTAGAACTCTTCAACCCTTAAAACTTTCAAAACCATCAGGAAGGGTCCAGCTGCTTCCGCAGTGTCAGACGCTCAGAGGCTGAAACTGCCTGCAGCTGTAGGGGTGACATGGTTTAGGGTTGAAGGTTTAGGGTTTATGGGTTAGGGTTAACGGATAAGGGACAAGGGCTAAGGGCATAGGGCTTAAGGTTGAGGATTCAGGATTGAAGGGTGAAATTGTGTAGGGGTATATAGGCATATATATGCCATAGAGGGCTGATATGGAGCTTATATAGGGGTCATGTAGAAGCTTTATAGGGCTTTGAAGGGATGTCATCCTCTATAGCGGAACGATCAAATGGAAAAAACAAGGGCAATGAACTAGGTCTATGTAGGGATTTACAACGTTTAGGTCGTTTCCATAAATCGCGGAACCCCAATATAGACCCCAATATACAATCTTAATGCTCATTATGGGTGACCCTCTGGAAATGGGGGGCTCCCTGCGTACCCTCCAGCTACTGAAAACTTCATCTATGGGACACTGTCGCGCAAGATGGTGAGGACGTGGCGAGCCCTTCGCCTTACGAGCAGCAGCCCAACGTCAAGGCACTGCGGTCACGTGAAACATGCGTGAAGCCAGTGGTCTTCTGCTCTCTAGTACTGGATTCTTGTTGTAATAAAGAAAAAAAAAGAGATCTTTCTCTATTGATATTGGGCCCAGGTATCCATGAAAATGTAAAATGTTGTTCTACAAGAGCCCAGAGTAGGCATGTTCAAACATGACGACTCTTTTCTTAATGTGACCGTACTGCTGTGCTCTTCCATGCTCTTCCTCTCATCTGACATGTGGTCCTTATCATGGCCTGTACCCCACGGCAAACCCTCCCTTGCAACGGGTACCCCTCCATCTTCAGGATGATGGGTTCATGCGGAAGGGTTTCTACCCCCCTATACCCTCAATCCTCAAACCTAAACCCACTTTGAACCCAAAAGTCTGAGGTTGCCGGGTGCCTATTTTTCGTACTTCATTTGTCAATCCATTTAATTGTCCATTATTGACACCTACATATGGGGCTCGAAGCCATAAACCCTAAACCGTAGACGTACCCCACACATCCCTTTCTGGCAATTTTTGGGCCCTATGTATATTTCATGGGCCCTAACCAAACCCAAAACCCCAAAACCCTAAACTCCCATCCTTTAATCCCCAATCCATCCCGATCCATACCCAATATCCCACTTTATACCCTTAACCCTTCTAAACCCTAAGCCCTAAACCCTAAACCCTAAGCCCTAAACCCTAAACCCTAAGCCCTAAGCCCTGAACCCTAAACCCTAAACCCTAAACCCTAAGCCGGAACTCGCAGCCTCACGGGCCACCGCGGCCTCCAAGAGCTGCTCCGCGCGGGAGGCACGCTCCTGAGGGGATGGAAAAGAAAAAGAGAACTACGATTCAGGATTTAGGGTTTAGGGTTCAAGGTTTTAGGGTTCAAGGTTTTAGGGTTCAGGGTTGCAGGTTTAGGCCTTAGGGTTCTGGGGAAGACAACAGGAACCACCAGGTGCTTTAGGGTTGGGGTTTAGGGTACACACACACACACTAGGTGCTTGAGGGTTGAGGGTTTTGGGTTTACACACTTGCGTAATGTGGTGGTTTCCATGCTCTTCCATTAGTGGATACGTGGATGTGGCTATTTTTGTTTGTTGAGACCCGGCATGTCTGCTAGAGGGAGTCGAAATCTTAGAGGGAATCGAAATTCATGGGATGTCTGAGAGCCCGAGCCATCGGTGCGGAATAGCTTTGGGGTTCAGGTTTAGGATTTGGGGGTCTGGGTTCAGGGACTGAGGGCTGCCTGTTTGGACTTCTTTACGCCTACAAATCATTATACTGAATCACGCGGTTTCCTGATTATGGTATCTTAGCTTTACTTTCTTAACACCAAGCCAAATTGCGACGATCCCGCTGAACAGGCCATACCAATAAACTTGCTGGTTTTAAGTAGGGAATGGAGGAATGGATCCCTACAATAGCACCTATGTAATTCCAAGTAACGTGGCAGCTTCCATGTTCTTCTTCGTTCCTTCATTCCCGGCTTGCTACGCTTACCTCGCCTACACCACAACTCTCTCAAACTGTCATATTATGAGCTGTAGCATAAACTCCTTAATGAAAGTCGCTTATATAGGGGTCTATATAGTAGGGGAGTATCATGGGGGCTTATGAAGGGGGTTATTTGGAGTGTAGACTCTGGCTCATATGACAAGTGTGAGGGAGACGGCGGAGAGGGTGTGGGTTGAGCCAACATGTAAAGCTCCAAATCCTGCCGAGGACGAGGACCCTGTGCCTTATGAGCCTTCAAGACTTGTTTGATGGGTTCCAAACATGCGCCCTAACCTTAAGCCATCTAACCCTAATAGGGTCTTGTATCTATGCCACTTTTGGAATCTACCGACGTGCCTGGCCGAAACTCCCAGATGAGAGCCCAGCACAGTAATAGTAAAAGTAATAGCAATAGTAATAGTAGCAGTAATAGTAATAGTAATAGTAATAGTAATAGTAATAGTAATTGTAATTGTAATTGTA